ATTTTCTGTATAAACAGTTACAGGTTAAGCGCGTAGGGTAACATTGAGTACAGGATTTTTCTGTAGGAACAGTTAAAGGTTAAGCGTATAGAATAACATCGAATGCGGGATTTTTTGCATGAACAGCTGAAGGTTAAGCGTATTTAGGATAACATTGAGTAAAGGAATTTCAACCAAGAAAAGCTAAAGGTTAAGCGTATATAGGTCATTAATGTTAATCTTTATTCCGTGACAGCACATCGATAGCACCTTTTCTTGTTCTCATTTCAATACTAAGTTATAATTAATATCTCAAGTTTTATTCCATCTAATTTATTATCAGCTCATTCAATCCATTGCAACTTTATCTGTATGGATAATACCGTATAATTTATTCAAGCTTGTGCTCCTGTAAGGCTTCAAGGTATTTTTTTTCATGGCCTAATCTGCATATCGCAAATCTTATCGGACCAGCTGAGAGATTCAGCACAATAGGGCTCTTATTGCGGGAATTTTGCCTTCATAAGGATATTTTACGACCATTCAAAGCATTGCTGAGAACAGAAACGTCTCACTGTGAAAAAATACTGAACAGGTTGCATTCTTAATCAAGATCGTGATTTAAGAGGGTACAAGAGCATTGCATTAAATTTATATGTTGAATAAAAATTGAGTCATAGTTTAAGCCAATTTATGAATAAAGTTTATAAATCTCGTGCATTGTAGAATAAAACATAGCTTGACGAATGGGCTAATAAAAACTATAGTTAGATAAATTAAAAAAATTGGAGATACCGTTCAATTTTAAACCCCACGTCTCTCTAAATATATGCATTCAATTACCTTGCAAATCTGTTACTAAGTCCTATATTATGAGATTTGACTATACTTTACAATAACTTTCATTGTAAAAATGCAGAAGCAGTGTATGCTCTCCCGCCTTTATAGCGCATTTTCTCATTTATGGAAAAAATGCACTATTTTGCTCGCCATGTCCGTCTGTCAGTCCGTCTGTCTGTCCGTCCGTGACTTCAAGTTTTCGTCGACGAGAAAATGCGCTCTCTGTCACTCACTGCAGTGAATACTGAGTTATATTTTTTATACGATCGCTCGAGGCAGGCCAACTGATAAAAGCCCAGCCCAGTAACTGAAGACCAGGGCCTATACTTTCAAAATTCGCTAGTAAGAATTTACGCTCTATTTACTTGTCTACGATTGGTGGGTTTTGCTTCAAAGGCCGTCAATGATTGGCTGATGAACTTACGATCTCTTAACTTTTTTGAAAGTATAGGCCCAGGAGTCAATGCTAATACAATGTACAATGATGAATTCAGCTGTGATTGGGTCGAGCCATAGATGAAATTTAAACGAAAATATTATATTCAAACGTTGCAAAACCGTTCATATGAAAATGAAAATTAGAAGTAGAAAATGTGAATATTCAGCCATTATTTGGCTGTTACTGAGATGAGTGTAACAAATCAGACCACGATACGGAGTAAGTGACGGAGAACGGAGAACTTCTAATGCATTATAAAGTCTAATGACAATTCGAAGTGCAAGTTTCTTACTTTTTTAAAGAGAATTTAATACCGATATAAATTTATATGAATAAAATGTATCCTAAAGCCGCTACACAGAGAAGCAAAGCAAAGGAGTAACCCCGCGTCGTGGGTGAACCCTGCTAGACTCGAGCTTCTTCTTATCGTGTTACTTAAATGGCATCGGCAATTAACAGGTTTGTTTGATGCGAGAGCTTGTCGATAAGTTCTTAAATGATGTCATCTCTGCTGCCCTGGGGCCATACTTTCAAAACTCGTTATGTGAACGTAAGTACTTACGCTCTATTTTCTTGTCTATGATTGGTGGATTTTGCTTGAAAGGCCGTCAATGATTGGCTGATGAACTTACGATTTCTTAACTTCTTTTGAAAGTATAATAGGCCCTGAACACAATGATTTATGCAGTATTTGGACTGAGAGTGTTGATGAGGTTCATAGACTGGAAGTGTTTATAATTTGGCTTGGGTACTAGAACAATTTAGGATTGAAAGATGATGAAAATGTTTGTCAACATTTACGAGGTAACATGATTGTTGAAGAGTTAAAAGGAAAACAACACGATTTATTTCTGCAAGCAGGTTATCAATAAATAAATAATAAAAAGTAGGGACTAATGATTATTAACAAAGTCAAGGGTCTGAGCGAGATTTCCTATTTCTACTCAATACAAAAGTTTTTGCTTGAATTTGAAAAACGTCGACAAGCTTCATGCAAACATCAGGGTTTAAATAATAACTACCCCGTTTTTACGTTTGGCATGTAATTCAAAATTATCTTTTATAAATTTAGTGTCTTTGATTTTATTTATAACACTAATTTACTATAATGTTCATTCTAAGAAATCACGATAAAAATTTTTTTATTTGAAAACCGTACACGACATCGTGATAATATTTTATTACACAGCACGACTAGTCATCATGACTATGAGCAAACAATGATACTTCTCCTCACTGTTACAC